TATTTTTATTTCTACATAAAGTTATTTTGTAGAATAGTGATCTGACAAAAAACACATTTTTTTCCAGAAGAGATTTTTGTCCAGAAATTGTTTCCATCTAAAAACAGAGATAACTTAAATGTTATCATCCTTATTGTCCAGCAGGATATGAAATGTGCTATATCCAACTTTCTAATTTCAGCCTTTTGGGAATGATGAAGTGAGGATTGAATTTATAGCCTCATGTATGTCAGGTATATGCCTTACCCCTGAACTACTCCCAGTGTCCCATTTTTTTCAGTCTTCCATGTTCTGTGAGTCAACAGCTTTGCTGTATAGCTGGTTTCCTCATCAACTAGTTAATTACAAATTGTGATGTGCTCACTTTCCCTATGAGATTTATTTTGGTGTTTTTTATGATAATTGTATATGTATATTTGTTTAATTTTTGAGTTGCATGTTGACAATTTAAAATTCAATAATATTATACTCCACCACATAATCGTATATATGTGTATACACATATATATGTGTATGTGTATATTACCTATGACCAGTAGAATCTGTAGAAATATTTATTGGTAAGTCAAGTTGTGTAAATCATCTTGGGAAAGAGACAATTAACAGATTGTAGAAGGTACAAGGCTCAATTATTTTTTATGAAGAGCCTAGGGAGAAGAGACCAGAAGAGTTCACCTCAGACCAATGGCAAGGACATACAGATAGTACAGACTGCCTTAGTTGCCTGCTTTTATAAACTTGGCATGTTTGCTAAATGCTAACTGGGCAAATGCAAACTGATAGGACAGAATGCCAAGTATCATCATATGCTTACTTCTATTCATCACTTATAATTAAAATGCTTTTAAAGGAAAATAATCCCTCTAGTGGCTGTTTGGATTGTAAATGTTCATTATTTGTGCTTAGAAATTCTGTAACTTTTCTATTATGGGACATGAGTATTAAACTTTTCTAACAGTTCCATGAAAATTGTTATCAAAAACCATTATGTTAAAACAACTTAAAAGATTGTATTCTCCCTAAGACTAAAGGAATTTAAAACATAATCCAAAGTGTGAATGCTCATAAAATATTGATTTTCATTTTTTAAGTCATTTTATGTGACCTATTTTCTATAACTATCAAGAGCAAGTCCGTGTAAAAAAAAGAGGCAAACATTTTCCCCTGGGTATTTCTACCTTTGAAGAAATACCAAATTTATAATTCTATGTAAAATAGCATTCTGTAAGTGAGCTTACATTTTAGCAGCATCTCATAATAGCATTTTTCATGAAAAGTAGATTTGTGAGCTAAGAAAGATTTTGGAGTTTGCTTTTGAGATGAACTTGGTTGATGCAGGAAGGTCAAAGAGAGTCAGTGCTTCATGTTTGAGGGCATGTGAGCCCAGCCAAGGACATAGGCTTTAGTTAGTGTTCATCTTTAAACCTGAGCCACTGAAATGATAATCTGTCTCCTAGAGCTGATGAAGGTGGTGAGGCCACAAATTGAATTACAGGACATTCTTGGAAGTACCAAACCTGAGTTTAAGATAATCATACATAAAATGTCCAAGGAAACAGTTCATCATCAGAATCCAATGTCTTTAAAAGCAAATGACAACCTATTTCCTTTCAAACCTTAGGATGTTAGCAAGGTAACTGACAGAAAGTGAATTAACTGGCCCAGGGCCCAAAGACATCAAGTGGGAAATACTTTCCTATACCCTTACTGTGGACAACTTTCACCAAAGTTAAAGCTTAAATGCAGTCTTTAAATATGAGACTGTCATGGAAATCAAGACCAGCTGGCACCAATTCAGAAAGAACAAAAAGATTTTCCACTGCATTTGAGGATACTGAAGTCTCGATTGCCATCATCAGTCAGTAGCGTCAGATGACCTGTCCTAATTGTGTTTTTCTATTAGAGAGAACACGTGTCATCAACTATACGAGCTGATTTGCCTTAATTTGATATTCGCATGCACCTAGGAAGTATAACTTCTGGGTTCCATTTTAAGGGGCAACACACGGTGGGAAAAACTAAAACAACTTTATTCTCAAAACCCTGTGTGTCCTGGAGGTTCATTAGGATTTTCAAGTTTGCCTTTTGCTTTATTAAGTATCGAAGGTAAGACACTGTAACCTCAGTACTTCTTGAGCCACACAACCGTTAACAAATATCCAAGTTTTTCTACTAATAATATCATCTCATCTTGAAGGTTCCAGTGGAGATGACATGTATCTGCCAACTTTTGAATATAATTTTATGAAGATAATGGGAATTTTTTCTTTGTACAGAGTACTAAGATGTATAATGGGATTAAATCCAATAACCAAAACTTCAGGAAATACCCTCCCAAAAATGAAATAAAAATGCAGAACAAAGAAACTAGATTTTGGCAGTCTTTTATGTCTTCTGTGGTCCTTCTCCAGGTCCAGTGCTCACACACATGAGTTAACTAAGTTAAAAAAAAAAAGAAACATAATCACAAGGGAAACAGTGGACATCTGCCTTGTGGGAAGTGCACCTACAGGGTATTAAGAGAAACCAAAAGTGCTACTTCCTATGGTGTTGCTTACTAGCATAAAAGGCATGCGGTAGTTTAAAAAATATGGATTAACAAAGTAAGAAATAAGATCCTCAGTTAACTAAACAAAAATGACTATATTAGGGCAGGTTTTTACAGAAGCCTTCTACTGAAGCATTTTCTATTTTCTCTTTTTGCCTGTGTGCCAGTACTGGGCCTTGAACTCAGGACCTTGTACTTGGCTTTTTTGCTAAAAGCTCATGCTCTCATATTTAAGCCTTTCCTCCAGTTCTAGCCTTTTCTAGTTAACTGAAGGTAAGATTCTCTAGTATTTGTCTGTCATAACTATAGTCACCACATCTCAGTCTCTTAGGTGCTAGGATTTTAAGTGTGGGCCAACAGTACCTGGCATATTTTCTCTTTTTTTTTTTTTTACTAGCCCAAGCTCAATTGCATTCTTGCAAAAAATATATGTTATTGTTATCACATAGGAACTTGGGAGAACCAGATGTTGTACCTCATACATACGCTCAACAGAAACACATTTATGGCCTGATACTAGGAACACAGATGGATAAACTAAATGAAATTTCACTATAAACACTTTTGCTTAATTTTTTAAAAAAATTATTCATTTATATGACTAGTTGTAACATCAAATTTCCTCTATCCACACTACTGTGATGCCTTCTTCTCTTCTAGTGTTGTTTTCACTTTAAAATATGACAGAAATGGGATATAAAATATCTGGGCATTGATAAACATTAATAAAATGCATCAGTATGCATTACTACCTTTCTAGCAACTGTTCAAAGTTTGCTATTTGTGAAAGGATAAATTTGTTGATGCCAGCATGCTAAATAAACGTATACCCAGCACCCCCCCCCCATCCTCCTTACATCCCTACACTGGGGGATTTAAAGGTGGAAAATGAAAATGGTAATGTAACTTATGTTTATTTGGTCAGAGCGTATTTGGATTTTGTGTATGTGTTAATGTTTTCCATCTCAAGCGAATCTGTCTCTGAAAGCATCAGAGAGGTGCTGCAGCCACCTTGCTCTTGGTCTTCCTGGTACAGTCGGATACAGTGGGAACAGAGACAAAAAACAAGAAACCCACCCCAACCCCTTGATGTTTGCCCAGGTTCCTCCATGATGGCTACCCGAGATCACAAGCATTCATTACACTTTAGGAGTCCCATTCTGGCAGTCTAGGAGTGGAAATTATTCTGAACAACTGTTTGGTTTGGCTTGAAGTATATGTAATAAAAAGTCAGCCCCTGACATTTCAAAATTAGAAGATTTCACATGAAATTTCTTTTATCCATTTTTTTCATGACAATCAAAAAATCTGGGAATCTAAGGAAGTGTTCGCTCATGGCAATCTTCTTAGAGCCAAGAAACTCTTTACATATGGGGAATGAACTGTCCAATTCTCAGTCTTACCATAACCTGTGAGATTAGGGTTTATGTACACTACTGTTCACTTTGTTCACTGAAGTTCTGAACCCCAACATCTATCCTCATAGAGGGACCCAAAGGGGAGAGAGGGGTGAAATGGACATCTTACTCTCTTCTTTCCTGTGCAACAACAGTAAATCGCTGTTTAGGTATTTCTCCTTTCTTGGGATGCTGGATGTACTAGTTAAGAAGAAAATGTGTTTTCTAAAGGAAGAATCAAATACTGAATCTAACTAGAGGATTCTGCTTCCAGTTGTGAATCAAGCTGATTATGCTTAGGAAAAGCCTCTCTGAGGGTTTTCATTCATGTTTTAAAAATGTGACACAAGGGAGACAATGCATAGACAAAAAATTAATAAGCTCTTGTTCATTAATCTGGGTTGGCCAAAATGAAAAAGGAAGATCATTTAAGGAGGGCAGGCACTAATTACTTCAAAACATTTGCAGGACATCTTGTAAAGCAGTCCTTATTTATATTATATCTTCTTTCTGTGATTTTTTTCCTTCTGGTTAAAAACAAGGTCTTCACAAACCTTGCCTTATATTGATTTCATCTACTTTATCTGGCTAATTTCACTTTGAGCACAGTATTTAATATATCAAGCTATAATTTTGGAGATGATTTATCTAGAACTTCAAATTACATTCATACTATTATTGAACTGCATCAGTTTCAGAAGCAAGAGTTTTACATATTTGGAAGATCAAGTCATTACCCAATATTCAACATTCAATACTTGATACTCAAAAATGTTTTTGAAATAAACATAACTTTTATTGTTAATCTTCCTAAAGAAACTAGAATATTTTTACACAAAAAATCTATCAATAAAATTGGTTAAAGAAAAGAATGCAAAGCAAAACAAAACAAGTTGAGAGAATTCAGGCTTTATCAAAGTCTTAGTAATTTTTTAAGCAATGGTGATTCCATTTCACCACTTCAGTTTAGAGCCTTTCTATATGTTACAATGCTCTCTGTATTTCTTCTTGTTCCACGGATGAAAGTAAAATTCATATAAAGCATACCAAAGCCATTATGGATAACTGATGGTAAAACTTTATTATTCAAGTTTAGATGTAACAGACATCTTTGCTGCCTGAAGATTGTTTGCATAAGAAATACACCGAGAACATGTTTGTGAGTAGAAATGAACATGCAACTATGAAAACAAAATAAAATAAAACGAAAAATTTCCATGTGTTGTAAGAACAGAACTATTATAGCCAACATTTCTAATATTCAAATCAGGACTACAAATTGAATTCTTAGCAACATGAAATCATTCCATATGAAAGACATATTTTTTTTACTGCTGGTGAATATTCCTGTTTAATTTTACAATGGCATTTTGAGATGCTTCCAATCCCCGACCCCTCCACATCCCTCCTGATTATCCATGTGGCCAATAAGTAATGAATTTGGCATTTGTCATTGAGATATTTGCCTTGTTGGTAGCCATGAAGAAACTATGGTTTTATCAGCCTTGTAATAGTTTTGCCCCTTCATAGTCAACACTATAAGCTGTCTAGTTATAATATGTACAGCTCATCTTTAACAAAAATGACCTTAACCTTTCCTGGCCCTTGGGAACTGAGTTTAAAACAAACCCCTTGGCCACATAATACTTGGCACTCTTATGGTGCCTTTCAACCAAGGATTGCAAAGTGCTTTACAAAAAAGTACTACATTACCCTTATTATTATTTATTAATATTATTAATATTAATATATTTTTTCCACTTTACAGCTGAGGAACCTGAGGAACAAAAAGAAAAGTGATTTGTTGCAATTCAGGTATTGCAAAAAGTAATAACCAGGGGGTAAACACAGGATCCACAGTGGGCATTAAGGATTGTGAAAGACCATTTTTTTCGGCTGCAGGTTAAATGCTATTTTCATGATGAAGTTATGCTTGCCTTTTCTCTACATTTCTTTTCAAGATGACAACATGAGCATGTACTACCCACCATCTCCGTGTGGATTGCTATTGAATTTCATATTTTCTTCATCCCTGATTTCACACACTTCTGCCTTACTATCTTCCAGAAGTTCTAATTACTGGGATTGAGATGCTTTCTACACAACAGCTCTGCTACCAGGATCTGAGTGCCCTACAAATTAGCAATAAAAAAATCAAAGGAAATGCTGTGCAAAGAAGCCACTCCTCTGCCCTTGGTGAAGATTTTCTTTGGTAAATAACACTGTCTTTCTAACTCCTGAGGGGTATCTTTCTGTCTTCTCTAGTCAGTTGCCTGCTGATAGAATTCCATCTAACTGTGCAAGGATGGTTTGATATTTAGCTTCATATACAAGGAGCATTTCAATCCTTCAGTTTTTCCCTTGTCTAGCAGTCAGCAAGCTTTAGCATAAGCTCATCAATGATGCCTAGAGATTCTGGCCATGTCCCTTAATAAGACAGAAGTAACTGTGAATTGATCTGTACTTAATGTCAAAGTACAGAGGCAGGGTGACCACGAGCTTCTTTACTCCATGCTTCCATTGCTGGATGGCATATATAATTCCCTTCTAGAAATGCACTGAGATTCATTAACTAAACAGGCAGACCATTCACAGATCTTAAGACAGGTCTCTTTGTGATGTTTTGCAGCCACATAGCAAGAGACTAGTAACTTTTAATAGTATTGATAACCTTCAATTTATTACAAAGAATTGTATTTCCTCAGGCATTTAAAGTATATATACATTTAATATTTGTGGGGGGCTATATCTGCATTGGATCATAGAATTATGTGCACATGTGCAATCATAAACATAATGTGCTACCCACAGGCCTCAAGGAAGAGCTCTTTAATCATGTTTTCCTTCTTCTCCTCAATATTACCTTAGAAAAGTATCCCCATGCTTGTTTTTCTAAAATCTACCTTTACTAAAAGAACAGTTTAACTATCTTAGAAGTGGATTTTTTTTCTTTTTGATAAAGAACATCTCAATATGTCATGTAGAAAGAATTGGGCACATTCTACCTCCTGAATTCTAGAGAGAACTTGTTAACTCTGATACTCCATCCCTTTTTCTTGTGTTTAGAGTTCTGTAGTGTCTCTCAATCCACAATCTTCTGAGGTGGGCTGCTTCTTTATAGTTTTATCTCCCAAACAACAGTATGTATATAGGGCTGAGTGATGAGGAGAGAAAAAGTGAACAAAGGAAAAGTAAATATACCTTAAGTTCAATCCAAAATTCAATGGAGAATACAGAAAAGAAATTTTAAGAGACATACAGGTTTTTAATAACATATGATTTTAGTTGGCATATAGTTTTCCTCATAGGGGAAGCCTTTTCCAGAACAGAAAATTCCTAAGTCAACTTGAAAATTCTTTTTAAAAAGTACCTAAACATCTGATTTTAAATTATTCACAATTAAGACAAGAGGATTCAACAGTCTTACAAAAATTGTAATCTACTTTGAGAGATGGAACAAAAATATGGAATATTTAGTGTTATGATAATTTTTCAACTTTAAAAAAGCCCTACCTCTTCTCCACCAGAATATGCATAATAATGAAAGCAAAAATGAAAATAAAATAATTAATAATAAAAGAGTATGGAATAAGTTCTATCATGTCAATGCTATCCAAGAATATTCTACTAAAAAGTAGACTGACCATAAATATTCCAAGAACCATGATATGTATTTTCTGATGCTAGTCATTATTACTATGTCTGTCTGAGAAATTAAAAAAAATGAAAAACAAAGGTATACATGTCAACAATGAGCAACCTATTTGTGTCTGACACACCAGAGGAACTGTTTAAAGAGTAATTTTGTCCAACTGTAATACCTGCAATATTGTCCAAGTGAACCAAATCTCTGGTATTTTGTTGATTTGAGCAGTCCATATGTAATGGGGCTTGAAGATTGTTACAATGCATTTGAATCCATTTTTAAATACATAAATTAAATATTGTTGTTTGGGAAATCTCTTCTTTTCAGATCATAGTCACCCCTCAGATCTGCATGTACATTTGGTGACGCATCCATCAAAATTCTTAACAAAGATATAAATGATGTCAAAATCATTTGAGTGTCAAAGCTCCTCATTCCACCTCTTTATTTCAGTTTATGTGAATCTTAGAACTACACCACAGCCAGGCGAGGTCAAATAGGGCCCTTAAACAATGAAACTGAAGCAAAGGACTTAGTCCTGATTTCTTTCTCTCACTCTTTTTTTTTCCTTTTTCACTTTTTTTAAATACAAGAAAACAAAAAAAAATGGAAGAATGGAAATGACAACACAACATGAGAAAGATATTTTTAACTTCATTCACTACAACAGTCATGAACTTGTTGAACTCTACCTGCCATCCAACTTCAAGAAAAGAAGAGACCCGGCACTGTGAGAAAGAAACAAAACCCAAACACAACAAAACAATACAAAAGCAACTGCGAAATAATGTAAAAATGGAGTGCAAATGCGACTACAGAATGCAAATAAAAAAATCAGTGCTGCGGATTCCAGCAACACTTATCAAAATAATTTCTGAAATGTTTCATTTGAAACAAACAAAACAATAAAAAGAAGATATATGTTTATCATCTTCAGCATAACAATGTGAGTTAAGAGCTTAAAAATTAAAAAAAGAAGTACTTGGAATGAATAGTGCTACCCTTTTTTCCTAAGTAGGCATAAAAATATTTTCATTTCCTTCTTATTTTCCATACCATTATATCAAGAACTTTTCATTTGTTTCATGTTACCGTTTACACCTTTTATGCACACACACACACACACACACACACACACTCACAAACATACATACACACAAAAAGATATCTACTGCAATAGAAATAGTTGCTTCATTACCTTGTTTGCTACATTTGCAAATGTAAACAGCTAGGCAGAGCCAGAACTGACTCTAATGCATGATGGAATATCTTTGTTGCATACGTACACTGTAGAAAATAATTATTCAATATGTCAGGCACCATTATTTGAAATGTAATACATTAATATTTACTAGAAAAATAAGTTTTTTTCCTATTTGTTCTCCCAACTTCCTTAATGAAATAAGTTAATCTGACAGTACATCCAGTAGCTTGTAATATCTTCTACATTTCCGTGGCAAAAAATAAACTACTGGTTGGGACAATATAATGCAAATTATTAAAGTCAGTCCTTGTACATACATCCTTGTAGCAAGCATTGAGGCTCGACTAACAGCACCTTTAACCAATTATTTAATGTTCAGTTATTTAGCCCTATTTCCCTGAGCAGTTATGCTGAGGAGCTTTTCCCTTCATGGATAGATTCTGTTTGTTTTTACAAAGCCTAAAGTATTAAAAGTACTATGAAGCCATACTTCTAAGAATCCTATTTAATGCTACTTAACTAAACCTGTATAAATCTAATGAAGGGATTGATTGGTACATATACCAACTGTCAGCCTGTGGTAATGTAACCTTAGATGCTGCCTGACCACAAAGTTTGGAAATTATATTTCACCAAAAGAAAATAAATAAATACAGCAGGTTACCTTGTGGAGAAATACCATGTGTTATTAACAAATGAAAACCATGGTTTGACATGTGTATCCATCCATTCTTTTGAACTAAGGGAATTCTTTTAGTTATAGTGTGCCAAATGAGAATTAGTGACAAACAGGAGGCATACAAAAGCGAAAAAAAATCCAAACTGGTTCATTATAAACAACAAAGAAATATCTGGCTAAAATAAAATTATCACAAAAGCAGTAGGGACCTTTTCAAATGAATATATATATATATATATATATATATATATATATATATATATATATATATATATATATGTGGACAAAATGAACCTAAATGGCAAATGCAAGGACTGCTGAGTATTTGAACATCTACAAGACAAAAATACCAAAGAGGGTGTGCATGTGTATGTACAGGCAGGGCTTGCCCAAAAACATTGTGCCACCATCTGTCACCTTTCTTGCTGCTCTCTCACCTAGCCTAACCACGCTTTGCATTTCAGGGTCCAAATCTGAAACATGGTCAATGAGAGGAGACTGAATTTGAGAGGGTGCTATTTTCCTTCCATTGCTCTGGAGATTCAATTATTTTTCTCATCTACCTAGGATTTCATGATAGTTCTAAATTTAAGCAAGAATTTATGGATTTTTTTTGAACAAATGAGCGAATGGCCAGCCCAGTACTGCTTTAGTTTCATAATATGTAAACCCTTTTTAAATTTAATCCCTTTACAAACACAGTAATTATAGTCTAATGGGACTGTGTAGGGATGAACTCCCTCATACACATAAGCCAAAATGGTGTCCATTTACTAGGTTAAAAAAAGAAAAAAAAAACCCAAACGAACAAAAAAAAAAAAGATCGATCACCATCATTCATTCTTTCCCACTGACCATTTGTCTCACTTTTAAAATCTTGGTAACCTACTCATTAAAAGAAAGCATAAAAAAAGAAGGGAATTTCATGTTGGATAAGGCAGGCTCTATGAAGTATCTTTTTTAATAGGTTTTCATAAGACATTACAAGCTATTGAATTCCCATCGAGAAAACCTATTTCTATTTAATTGTGCTAAGTGCTAAGGTTGTTTTTTTTTTTTTTTTACTCTTTAGGTTTTCCATTTTTTTCCACTTGTGCATTGTTCCTATGCAGACCCCTCTGGATATGCGTTGTGAAGTCATATTTGTCCGTGCAAAGATGCTGACATATGCTGCACTGGAAAGGTCCACTGTCACCATGGCAACTCATATGCAAAGCATACATCACTTCATCCAGAAAGACAATGCCACAGTGCGCACATTTTGTCGAAAGTTCATCTTGAGTACTTCTGTCAACTTTCTCTGTTTTTACTACATTCAAGGGCCCTTCACTTTTTACATTTGGTGGTGCCTTAGTCTTCTCCTTGGAGGCACCATTTGAAGTTGGCCCAGGTCTGGAATGCTTGATCGCCAAATCTAGAGGAATGTCATTGTCTGATCCAACAGCTGAAAAATGAGGAGGCAGATTGAAGGTGGGATAAGGCACATAGTTTTGGCAAGGATTTGGTAGGCCAGGCACATGACTCAAGTAGTGCGGATTCCCAGGAACGGAGAGCTTATATTTACTCCAGAACCGCAGCCAATCAGCTTCACTCTGGAAGTCATTATGTACAAAGGGAAGTCCAAAAAGTGGGTACTGGTACTTTTCAATGGGACTGCCTGGTGGTGAATAGTTTGAGTGTTTTGCAGGTCTCATGTACTTTTCGATGGGGCTGCCTCTCTCAGAGCTCCCTTTCCCTTCAGATATGGATGAAGTATTTCCTGGATCTCCAGTACTTTCCTGAGGACTTTTGATCTGAATGTGCAAAGGTTGCATCCTTTTGTGAATATCCAGAGTTTGGCTGACCAAGACTGGCTGTTGAGAAGAATGGCTTTTAGTCAATGAACCCTGGGCTTCATATTTACTTAGGCTCGGAAGAGGAATTTCTCTCTGATGAGCTTCGGACAAGTGATCTTCTGACCTCCTCTCTAAGGGGCTTCCATTGACCTGCTCCTCACTGCTACCCCTCTGCTGTTTGTTGAGCTGCTCAGCCTGAAGTGCCTCTGGGTTAAGGCGCTTTCTTGTTCTTCTCCTAATAATCTGCTCACCATTGTTTTGTTTAATGATGTTTAAAGGCCTGGGAGTCTGCAGAGAACACACATAATACATAAAAGGGAAACATTAAAAAATACATTAAAATGCATTAAAAATTCCTCACAAATATAAACCATGCTTAAGTTCAAAGCAAGGATTGGCTTTGTACTATAGATTTTCTAAATCTCTCTCACGTTTTCTCTCTCTCTCTCTCTCTCTTTTGCCCTAAGCAGGATCAGAAGGAGGAACCAAAGTGCACTGTTTTAGACTAATTAAATCATGTCTATCTTTGCAGGAGGGACAGAAAACTTTAATCTACTTGAAGAAAGCTTTTCTAAACTCAACAGCCTTTGAGCGGGGGGGGGGGGAGAGGCTGTGCATCATTCTGAGATAAAATTGCATAGAATGACACTGGAAGAAATGATTTTTCAACTATATTTTCAATTGCTAGTTTTGCACCAAAATTTTGTCAAGAAAGTCACACAGGAGAGAGGCACAAATGAGAATGATGAAAACTTTCTGCCTTGCTCTGAAATAAATTTTGAGCCTCTCCTCCAAGACTTATGTTGAAATTCTAACATGTAACATGATGTGTCTGGAGAAAGGCTCATTATGAGGAAATTAAGCTTAAACAAGGGTATAAAGGTAGGGCCCTACTCCAATAGGGCTGTGGCCTTAGAAGAAGTCTGAAAGAGAATATCTCTCTTCACCATGTGATGACATAGGAAGAATAAGCCTATGTATTTCTGGAAAAGTTCTCACCAGAATTCAATCATACTGGCATTTGGACTTCCAACTCCCAGAACTGTCTATGAGAACATTAATTTCCCTTATTTGTAGCCCTAAGTCCACAGTATTTTGGAAATTTAAGCTGAGGAATACATGTATCTTTCTAAATAGGGACAAAGTATTCAACCAGAGTCTACATAATCAAAGACAAAAATGACTAAACTTTAAGGACAAATATCAGCTAACCAAAGCTACATATGAAGGATATATTTTTCCTCTCAATTCCATTTCTCTTCTTTTAATGACACTTAAACATTCACTAAATAAGACTCTACTTGCTAACAAGTAAAGTATGAGCTTTGTGTTGGTAATCTAAATTCATCTGTTAGCCTTCAAAAGCCCAATCTGTCATTCTGCTCTACTTAAAATGAATGCTGACTTACATTCAGCTTAAGTATTTTATTCAGCTTAGTTATTATGTGATTGCTATTTATGTTCATGTTCAACAAGTGTTTATATTACATGACTAAAATCCATGGGTAAGATGATAAGACTTTAATAAAAACTTTGATTATAGTAAGAGAACTAATTTTGGTCTACAAAATCATATAAATGTTTCTTAAATTGACACATATTTACAGATAAAAAATTTAGGAATGTTTAAGTGGTATAGAAGCTTTTATGAAAAGATTACTAAAATATAGGAATAATTCCTATATAAAATATGAATAAAGTAATCTGTAATTTGTGAATAACTCCTAAAAAGTAATAGGCCTCAGTCCAAAGGAGTATATTTTACATATTAAACAGATTCAGATATTAATCTTTTTATGAATATTTCTGTTCTCATAAGGTATTTTGAAGACCAGAAAAGATACCTTGCTGATAATTCAATGGTAAGTTTCAGAATAAAAATTCCACATAGCTTGAATATGCCACATACATTTCTTTTATTCAGAACATAGTGCTAACAAGATGCTCATAATTTGTATTGTAAAAGTATTTCATAGGCCAGGTGCCAATGTTTCACTCCAATAGTCCTTGCTATTCAGGAGACTAAGAGCTGAGATTACAGTTAAAAAGCCAGCCCAGGCAGACAAATCTTTGAGACTCTTTATCTTGAATTAACTACCAAAAAGCCAGAACTGGAGGCATGGATCAAAAGATATAGTACCAGCCTTAAGTGAAAAAGCAGAACAAGATATAAAGCACTGAGACTAAGCCCCAGTACTAGCACACATGTATTAACAAGCATATACAAATATCCTATAAAGGGACATACCATTCATTCATTTCTAAACTTTTATAACTTTTGTACACGTTTCATATGTGCATAATTTTATGTATTTCAATTTATAGTTTATAAAGTAAATTCAATATTAAGAATATCTTGCCTCTGGAGAAATGAATACTAAAATCGTTTCTAGAAAATAGTTTATATCACAGTGGTTAAATTACCATAATGTGGCAAGGCAGTCATCTAATTAATTAATTCTTGGCCTGTCATTGTCTAGACTTCAATTAAAATCAATGTCAGTAGTCACCACAACACTGAAGCTGGTTGCTGTTCAGAAATGGTATATGTCATAAAATTTTTCGATTGTACATGTTGGTGAGGATCTTTTTACTCTCCACATGCTAAAAAGTAACTAAGATTTTTATGGTTTATTATCAATTATCAGCCTGTTTTTGTTTATAAGAGTTCTTCCAGTGGTCCACTTATGAAGACATTCTGTCTAAAACTACAGCCATCATTTATTTACTGGCTGTATTATGGATGATGGTAAAAAGCCAAACAAAATGAAAAAAAAGCATAAGGAAATAGATTTCTGTTTACTAGGGGGGTAATTCTCTTGTAAAGACTTCTTGTGTTAGTAGATACATTGTTCTAAACTAAATGATCTCTCTGTGAAGTCAAATGTATACTCAAATTGGGGAGATTTGTGAGTTTAAGTTACATTACAGAATTATAACTAAAATTTTGGGAAAATTCAATGGACTTCCATGAATTCAAGCCAGCTGGAGATTTAAAAAAAAACACACGAAGCACAAGGTACTTTTGCATGTAACCTCATCCCAATACGCCTGCTATTCTACACCTCAGACACCTTGCCTACACCCTCTGGAAACACTGCAGACATTCTGTGTTCTTCCTTCAGAACCTGGCTTTTGAATGTCCCAAGCAACCATGTGCATTTCTAAACTGGAAAGTAAACTTTTCTTCTCTGCCCTGTAGGTTATACTGAACATGGATGAGTACTGATTTTTTTAAAAAAAAATTAAACGTGTGCTTTTGAAACTTTTAAGAAAGTTCCTTTTTCCTACCTAAGTTAATCTCACCAAATTCTGATAGACATGACTTCAACTGTCTGTTATGTGAAGTTCCCAGAAATCAATCATTTTCTTACTTTATATCAAAAGAAGCATGATGCATTACTAATGATCTCAAACATATCTCCCCATAACATCTAAACCCCTTTCACCATAAATCACATGTGCACTCAAAGTGACTGTATTATACCACCATGGGGGCCAGACACCACAAGCCAGGCAGCAGGACTTATCACACCACAGGCCGGGCCAGCTCTGCTTTGTAAAGACTTTTCCTGAAACACTGGGGCAAATTCTTACCGAGTGAAGCTTCTGGTAGAGGCCACACGCGTTGCATACATATCCACCATTTGCATTCTTTCGCCAGAGAGAGGTCTTTGTGGTCAGGCAATTGGCACAAAAAACACCCGAGCCTCTTCGCCTCTAAAATGAGAGGAAAAAAAAAAACACCAAGGTCAAAGGTGAGTCACATGATCCATGGAGTTAGACCAAATCAACCCAAGAGTTTTGTCTTTAGCCTTGCAACAATGACAGTATAAAACCACACTGCCTATAATGAGGTCAGGTTCAATTGTGTTTAATAGGCACCACTGATTTTCATTATAATTAACCCTACAGTGATGGATGAGGTGTGTTGTGCACCAAAGGCTTTTCACAGAAACAGCTTTAACTTTTTGAACTTTGGGTTTTGTGCCTTTAATGATGGTTCTAAAAGGCATATATATATATATATAATATATATATATATATATATATATTATATATATGCCTTTTAAAAGTGTCAAAACAAAAAACCAAAAGTCAGAAAGACAGAAAAGTAACTATGTTTATCAGATTTTGCAACACTGCAAACCAAACTTTAAAAATACAGTCAAGCTTAGAATAATGAACCACATAAGCCATTTAAAAGCAAACCCCATTTGCAATGACATTCACACTACCAAAATATTAAAAGAGCCTAAGATACTCAATTCTGGTGCTTCCTTTGCAACAATGAAGTCTAAGAGAGAATGTTTTCTATTTCCCCAAGCTGGGAGGACCTGAGAAACTTCTGCCAGCAAGAAGTACAGTATTATTTATGAGATCCCTTATGAGCTGCCCGCCTAAGCTAGACAACAAACTCCCATCAACGGCTATTTATTTATATTATTTGACTCAGACTTGGAAATCACAAGCCTTTCCAAATACTAAATTGATTTTAGTGACTTGAATTCTGTAATCAACAGATTCCAAAACAATCGAAGAATATCTAAAAGTAGGTAATTAGTATTTCTGGTTGCATTCTGCTATCAAGTAATGATCCCATCAAACTTCTCATTGAAACAAGTCAGGCTGTGTTTGTCGGTGCAAATGGGAACAGGCAGGAAATGGAATTCTCTTGCTGCAGAAAAAATAAAATAAAATAAAAAACAACAAAAAAAAAAACAACTGCTGTGGCTCAGCTCTGCTTTCGCTAGGAAGCAAAGCCTTTAATGATAAAATATGCATGTTAGATAAGGAGTGGAAAAAGTCTTCCTGGAACCTAATTTTATTATAAATTAAATATTACAAATGCTATAAGTCAAAATTTCAGAGATTCATAAAATTTAGGCGATTTATTTAACTCAAGTCCATACTGTAGCGGAGTGGGGAGCCTGCCAAGAAAGTACAATGGTTATAATTGTACTCTGATACATTTCAAATGGAAAGCTTTCTGCAGACATAATTTTGGCTTCAAGACTGGAACACTTTCTTGGCATTGAAAGGGCATTTGATTCATCGGGTGTTTCACAATGTATCACTAAAAAGACCTGGTGAGCAGCCAGTTCCCTATAGGGTAATTTTTCCATCCAGATGCAAGTGCTATCAGAGGCCCTCGTCAGCTAAACTAATTATGATCTTGCAATTGCTGATGCCTGCTCACTCTTAACATTCGACATCCTCCATTAATCATCAATACAAGGAAAATGAATGAAACGTAAAGAAATGAGGGCTGGTAAGCTGCACAGCTATAAAAATCCAAAATGAGAGCAATAACTTAACAAGATTGGGGGAATGTTTTGAGTGAGCACAAAGTCAGCCTAACAATTGCCCTTTTAAACCAAGAACACGATTTCATTAGTGTAGCGGGTGGTGCCACTTTAGGTGATATCATAAAAGCTAGATTTTCATGAAGATAATCTCTAGCTCCCTTGTTCCAATTCAGGACCAGGAATGCCCTCTAAATTTCCAGATCCCAAACTACTGACTAGTATCAAATTTGGGTGTCAGAGGTCCACAATTCCTAAATGGGCCCCGCTGCAAAAGTAGAGGATCTGAGGCCTCTCAGAAACCAATGGGCTATTAGAGGTAGTGTTTATTGACCATTCTGGGGCTCCCTGTGCATCCCAAATAAGCTGCTGAACCTTGCTAGATTATAATTGTGTAACTTTCCTGAAAGGGGCCATCCTTTCATTTTCCTAGATCTAAATAACACATTTGGCAGATCCACTCCAACTTCAGCCACATGAAGGCAACGTAAATGTCCATTTGGAAAGCAACCCACATAGATGGCTGAGGCTCAAATCTGCATGTGTAACAATTCTCTCTAAGCCTGCTTCTTTTTTTCCCCCTTATGCCCTGGTTGCTTGACACAGCATGCCAAAGTGGGTGTAAGCCTGATTTCAGTGAGTGTTTCAACCCTTGCACAATTTGGTGCTTAATTCTCTTGCAAAGCAAATGCCCTTCATTAGTTAGAGGGAAAACCCTGAAATTACAGTACTGGTTTTCACAGGCATTTCTTGGCTCTAAGCAAGATATGAACTGCAACAAAGGTCGCTATACTTTCAGTAAACTCTATCTTATTTTAAATACATAAGGTGTACTTTGATTCCACTTACTTGAAGGAAGGACAGAATTTGGAGGTTAATAATCAGATTTAGGAGTCAGAATTTGGAGGTTAATAATCAGATTTAGGAGTCAGGCTCCAGTATTCAAACTCTGTCTCTGCCAACAGCTTGGTGCAATGCTAGGTCAAGCAGTATTAGGCATATGAACAGATAAAATTAAAACAACGCCCAAGAGGTAGTAAATGCTCACTCAGTGAGTTCTTTGTCACAAGGACTCCATTGTGATATTTTCAGTATGAGAAAAACACTTAGTTTTGTTTTCACCTCCCTAAATCTCATCATTGAACATCCAAGGCATAGTTAAAGATACAACTGGCTATTATCAAATGCATTTCACTTGTTCCTATCTTATCAAATGTGAGAATGGAAAGTTGAGTCAGAGTGAAATATCTAAGTGTTCACACCTCCAATTCAATAGGTACCTGCTTGCATGGAGGTGGAGAGTGGGAGGAAGGTGAGAAATATTTCACATACACAGTGTCAGCTCCCATTTCAACAAAGTTAGCACTTTGGTAAATTTCACAGAACCATGTTTTGTGTGAACTTAATTTTCTGAAAGCAGCAGAGGTGGGAGAAGTGGACAGTGACCAGAGTATAGAATCACTTCTCTATGAACCCACAGCAAGGGTGAAAACCCAGACTTGCTCATTCTCAGTAAGCCTAAGTCAGACATAGGAAGCAGTTCCTTGAACTTATCTTCATTCTGATCCCATTCAGGGACAGAGAAGTTGCCTACCACCAAAAGATGGTGACCTGACTTTTTTATTTTTTTATTTTTTACTGTGAAAATACTGTACAGAGGGATTACAATTACACGAGCAAGATAATGAGTACATTTCTTATCAAGCATTGTCCTCCTCCTTTGTTTCCCCTTCCCATCCCATCCTCCCTCCACTCCCCTACCCAACCTTCCTCCTCCCCCTACCAAAGTTGTAAAGTTCGTTTTCGAACTTTCCCTATTTAAACGATTTGTTTTTCCCTTTCCTCCACAAATTATACCAACATCAAATACAGTGAAAGCAGGGGTTATACTGTGGGGGAGGGACATACAAAGCAACAAAGAAATAATCTTATAAATGTGTTAGAAACAACCACATTAAAGAAAAAAAACATTTGAATACATATCTTAGGGTTCATTTCCCTAACATCAACTTATCTGACCTTTTCTGCTTGACTCAGACATATACTAGTTATTTCAAATAAGGGAAACCATGGGACCTCACTTTTAAACCAAGATTGGCCTTTATTTAAAAGAAAATCACTAAATACTCTATCCCATTAATAGTCAATGCTGAATGGAATGGTTTTAAGATATTGTGTTATTTTCTTTATAAGTCAGTTGTTAAGGACAAAACTTATGTCTCTTAATAGTCATCAAGTTTGTGTTTATTTAGGAAACTCTGAAGTCAATGCCCTAAATTTCACCTTGTTAATATTTTTCTACTCATCCCTTTTAACCTCATCAAATCATCAGGGTCCCTCCGCTGGAGACAATGATCAATCCTACAGTCCACTTTTAATATTTCAAGAACTATTTTGACGGGAGCTTCTTGAGAGGTGCTAGGGTTACTAGGTCAGGTTAGAGAGAGCTCCAACCCTCCTTTATCTCTGTCATTATAGTCACATATCGCGGACAGCTCTGCATCCACCTGGGTATCTTTAAATAATAAGTTTCTTCTTTTTCTACACATGTTGAAGAGATAACAATAACTCATTTTTCTGTAGTGCTATGCAGGAGAGTAGAGAATTATAAGTCTTGTGGATAAGGATGGTGCTGGGAGAGGAAATGATAGGAATAAGTAGCTAGTGGAAAATACCAATTGGTGTTCCTGAAAGACGCATTTAGCACACATCGTACTCTCTTCTGTGAATGAAGGAAAGCTGACTACTTTTGTATCACAAGCCATTTACAAAAGCTGCATTTTCTACCTCTGAATATCTCTAAGAGCACATCTGACTTCTGTGTGGTTTTGACAGTTGCTAATGAGTAAGAAGGTTCCCCCCAAACCAGGAACTCAAGGAAATGGTTGTTTGAAAATTAAGCTTCAAGTACTGTTGACTTGAATGGTGAGGTTGAGGGTACATTAGTGTCGCATCTCCATGTTACTTCTCAATGTTATTTCATGTTCTGTGTGAAAAAAAGGGAGGGACAGGGAAGGCACTATCAAATACAAGGGGTGGGGGAGGGTTAGACTGGCAAATACATTAGTGATTAATTATTTCCAATAAATAGTGAGCAGACTTCAGAGCATCAGTTCCTTTTTGTGGATTTCAAATTTATTACAACCACAATACTAACGTTCAAAGAGTAGTGAATATAACGTAATGCATTTGGATCAACACACATGCCAGGATTTGATATAGAAAACAGTGTACCCACATTTAACTAAAAGTACATGTTCTGTCTTGTTATATTCAACAACATTTTCACTGCTTTTGGAGTCTACCAAGAAAGAGAAAAGGAAAAAAAATAAAACCAAAGATCTTTTAATCTTTAGGTTTGCATCTAAACATGGTGTGTCACTATAACTAAACTTTCTTTCCAGGTATCTGGTC